AATAGAAGTGGTGAAAGTAGACAAACTGGTCTCGTTCCTGATCTTAGTGGAAAAGATTTTAGTTTTTGCCCATTGAGTATGATGTTGGCTGTAGGTCTCTTATATATGGCTTTCATTATGTTGAGGAATGCTCCCTCTATTCCCATTTTGCTGAGTGTTTTTTATCATAAATTGGTGCTGTACCTTACCAAATGCTTTTTCCACATATATTGATAGGATCATGTGATTTTTATCTTTACTTTGGTTTATGTGATGTATTACATTTATTGGTTTGCAAATACTGTAACATCCTTGCATCCCTGGGATGAATCCCACTTGGTCATGGTGTATGATCTTTCTAATATATTGTTGGATGTGGTTTGCCAATATTTTGTTGAGGATTCTGGTGCCTATGTTCATCAGCGATATTGGCCTGAAGTTTTCTTTCTTTGTTGTGTCTTTATCTCGTTTTGGCAATAGGATGATGCTGGCTTCATAGAAACTGTTTGGGAGTCCTCCATCTTCTTGGATATTTTAGAATAGTCTGTGAATGATAGGGGTTAGCTCTTCCTTGAATGCTTTGTAGAATTCTCCTGTGAAACCATCTGATCCAGGGCTTTTATGTGTTAGGAGTTTTTTGATTACTGCTTCAATTTCATCTCCTGTTCTTGGTCTGTTCAGGCTTTCTGCTTCTTCTTCCTTGAGTTTTGGAAGATTGTATTTTTTAGAAATTTGTCCATTTCACCTAGGTTTTCAAATTTCTTGGCATACAGTTCTTCATAGTAATTTCTTACAATCCTTTGTATTTCTGTGGTATCTATCACTTGTAATCTCTCCTCTTTCATTTCTGATTGTGTTTATTTGGGTCTTCTCTCTTTTTTTCTTGATGAGTCTGCTTAAAGGCTTGTGGATTTTGTTTATCTTTTCAAAGAACCAGCTCTTAGATTCATTGATCCTTAGAATTATACTTTTAGTCTCTATGTCATTTAATTCTGCTCTGATGTTGGTTATTTCCTTCCTTTTACTTGCTCTGGACTGTCTTTGTTGTTGTTCCTCCCGGTCTTGTAGGCATAGGGTTAGTTTGTTTGTTTGAAATGTTACTATCTTTTTTAAGTAAGCCTGTTTTGCTATGAACTTCCCTCTTAGGACTGCCTTTTCTGTGTCCCATAAGTTTTGGAATTTTGTGAGTACATTTTCATTTGTTTCCAGAAACTTCTTCACTTATTCCCTAATTTCATTCTTGACCCATTCATTGTTTAATAGATTGCTATTCAATCTCCATGATTTTGAGTGTTTTGGTTTTTTTCCCTTCAGTTTGGCTTCTAGTTTCAGTCCCTTGTTATCAGGAAAATGCTTGATATGATTTCAATTTTCTTGGATTTGTTGAGGCTTGTTTTGTGTCTTATCATGTGGTCTGTCTTTGAAAATGTTCCATGTGCATTTGGGAAGAATGTGTATTTAGCTTCTTTGGGATGCAAGGCCCTGTATATAACAGTTAAGTCCATTTCATCTAGGGCATTATTCAATGTCACAATATCTTTGTTGATATTTTGTTTGGAAGATCTGTCCATTTTTTGAGTGTAGGGTGTTAAAATCCCCTATTATAATTGTGTTGCTGTCAATATCTTTTTTGAAGTCCTCCAAGATTTTCTTTATGTATTTGGGTGCTCCTATGTTGGGTGCATATATATTGACAATGTTTATGTCTTCTTGGTGGATTCTTCCCTTGAGCATTATGAAGTGACCTTCTGGCTCTCTCTTTACGGCTCTTTTTTGGAAGTCTATTTTGTGTGATATGAGTATTGCTACCCCGGTTTTTTTTCCCTGTCCATTTGCTTGGAAAATTTGTTTCCAGCCCTTCACTTTCAGTCTTTGTAGGTCTTTTGTTTGAGGTGGGTCTCCTGTAGGCAGTTTATGTGGGGGTCATGCTTTCTTATCCATATAGTTAGACTATGTCTTTTGATTGGAGCATTTAATCCATTTACATTTAAGCTTATTATTGTTAGATACTTAATCCTTGTCATTTTCATACCTGTCTCTCCCTCTCTCTCTCTCTCTCTCCCTCTCTCTCTCTCTCTCTCTCTCTCCCTTCCTTCCTTTCCTTAAAGCATTCCTTTTAGTATCTCTTACAGAGCTGGTTTGGTGGAGGTGTATTCTTTTAGACTTCTTTTGTCTGGGAAGCTCCTTATTTGGCCCTCTGTCTTGATTGAGAGCCTTGCTGGGTAAAGCAGCCTTGGTTGCAGGCCTCTGGTTCTCATTACTTGGAATAATTCTTTCCATTTTCTTCTGGCTTGGAGCATTTCCATGGAGAAGTCAGGGGCTAACCTTATTGGGGCTCCCTTGTATGTTACTTCCTGTTTCTCCCTTGCTGCTATTAAGATTCTCTCTTTGTCTTGGGATTTTGCCATTTTAATTATGATGTGCCTTGAGGTGGGCCTCTTTGTGTTCCTCTTGATTGGGACTCTCTGTGTTTCCTAGATTTGTGTGACTTTTTCTCTCATCAAATTAGGAAAGTTTTCCATTATTACTTTTTCAAACAGGTTTTCTATCCCTTGCTCTTCTTCTTCTCCTTCTGGTGTCCTTATTATACGGACATTATTGTTTCATATTGTCTTGCATTTCTCTTAATCCTATTCATTCTTTATGAGCCTTTTTTCCTTTTCTTGCTCTTTTGGGTATTTTTTTCTACCTTGTCTTCCAGCTCACTGATCAGATCCTCTGCTTCATCTAAACTGCTTTTGGTTCCTTCTACTGTGTTCTTCAGTTCAGAAATTGTATTCTTCATTTTCTCATGGCCCTTATTGCAAGTTTCTATTTCCTTTTTCATGTTGATATAGTGATAAAATGATGCAGTGAGTTCATTTTAGTTTCCCTGTAGTTTCTGGTAATTTTCTGTGAGGTCATTGAGCTTCCTGATAATCATCACTTTTTACTCAATATCTGATAGTTGAGTTGCCTCTATTTCATTTAGCATTCTTTCTGAGACTTCCTCCTTTCTTTGTATTTGGGGATTGTTTCTTTGTCTTCCCATTGTTTGTGAGACTCTTCTTGTTAACCTCAGTTTCTTAAATTTATCTGTTCTGAGTCCTTGGGTTTATGGTGTGAACTTCTATGTTAGAATACCTGTGAGATTCAGTCGTGCATTCTCCTTGATCTCCTGAGCTCACTCGTCTTGGGCTGTTGTTTATGTTGGCTCTGTGTATGTCTTTGGGTTTTGATTACTGTTGGGACTTTCTTTGGTCAGTCTTTCCCACCAGCTGATTAACTGAGGGTCACTCTGTCCACTACTTCTTGTATTTTGTTGTGCTGGTGAGTGCAGGTTGTGTTGAAGCTGGTTCTTCTGTGTGTATAAAGTTTTGAGTATTCTCTCTTGCTCTTATTCAGTTGTTTGTTCTGGGTAATTTCTCCACTATTTAGTTGTATTTCCAGATCAGTCCTGCATTGAGGTTAGTGTAACTTCCACTCCATCCTTCACCTTTTTCTGTTGTTATCTGTTGGTGGTTCATTTGTTGGTGGGTTTCCTCTTCCAGAGGTATCCTGGTGTTCTCAGCTTCCACCTACTCTGACACCCTCAGCAGAGCATGCAATGAGGCAAAGGGGAGGCCAAAACAGGTGTCAGAAAGTGGTGTACTCACTGAAGGGCACTGAAGCTCAGGGTCTGCATGTGATATATGGAACTGTGGCAGCCATCTTGGAACATGATCATGAGATCAAGCTAGCATGCTATGACTTGTAAAGTGGAAAAAAATTTAAAAAACCTGGTTCATCAATAGCATCATTGAGCTGCTGAATAACTGACCCTGGAGCTCCCATACCTTCCAATTTTGAGAAATAAAATTACTTGGATCATTTTGTGTTGAGCTGTCTGCTACTTACAGCCAGAAGCATTATAATTAATATAGTATGCTAGCAAATGCTAGAACTTTTAAACTTATTTATGTGTGATTCTAAATACTTCTGAAAATTACTGACTTCTACATCTGGCCTCCAATCTATAAAAAACCCTCTGTATTTTTTCTAATCTAACCAGCACTTTAGGCCTTCCCATCTTCTTATAGTCCTCGTCTTTTTGTGTTTTTTTCTCTTTGTCTTTACTCTTTATTCTTTTCCATTTTCTTCTCCCCACTTCCTTTCCCTACTCTGCCTTTAAGTGGCTGTGATTTAAATCTGAAATATGTGTATACATATATTCATCTATACATACATAAACATCTATACATATAATTAATATTGTTTCTTATATATTAGAAGTTAAGAATTCTTTCCCATTCCAAATGATTTCTTTCATATAGAGGTAGCTCGACTAACAAAAAACACCTGACCTCTCTTCACTCCCTTACTCATTCCTTCCCACAAAAGAGAAATTACTTAATTGGACTGGTTAGTTTGAAGAAAGAACTGAGCATGTACAGCCTAGCCCCTCCTAAGATATTTCTCTTGGGAGTGAGCTACCAGTAGGGAGCATACACTCCACTATGCTCATCTAGGCTGTACATTTTATGAAAGGAAGGTGTCATGGGGGAGGGATATAGTGGTCCAATAATACTAGTGCCTAGATGGAGAATTCTAAATAATCCCCAAATTTAGTAATGGGACATTCAAATGCCTACAGACAGAAGCCACACTCTCTGATAATAAGCTTTATTAATAATAAAGGTAATATCTTCTTATATACTACCTCTTGTCTTATTGTTGAATTGGTTCAGAACTTGTATCAGAAACAAGCCTTCATTTTACTCGACCCCCTTGAATAGCACTAGCATATATTACAGTTGTGTTGCTCTGTTCATAAATATATTTTATTGTTTTTTCATGGCTGTATGCTGTCATTGTAGTTTGCTTGAAGGTAAAAAAAAAAAACTCCCATAATAATGTCTTTGTTTTATAAATGTTTTCTGCAAACAAAAGGTGTGTTTAATTTGTCTGTGATTCCCTGCTATTGATTGGGTTTCCTATGGAATAGAGGCTCTTGATAGAAAAAAAATACTTTCCTGATTTTTGAGCTTCTTGCTCATGATAACTTGTAAATCTGTACTTAATCAATCTGACTCCAGTTTCTCAGAAATTTCACCTCTAGCTCCTGTCTTTGTATAAGCTTGATAGAAGTTCTTTTCTTGAGACTCCACTGTAATGGTCAACACATCATCATAAGCTTCCTGGAGTTTCAGGTTGTTCTTCAGGACCTGGTAGGAGGTATGCATATAGTGTAAACTATAGAGCAGGGCATCATAGGGAACAAAAATATAGGTTCTGTCCATCATTTTCAGATCATGAGCCCATTCTAAGAGATGTGTCTGAGTTTCTCCCAGTCAGTGTTGAATGCATACACATGATGATTACTGAAACCAACAAAGCAAGAAGGGTATAGCAATGATATGTTAGTAAACACAGTACTCAAAACTAAGGATTGGAAAAGTAAATAAATGTGTTATAACCAATTTGTAAATGATTTCTATTGTATGTCTCTAAAATGAGAAAGATTTGAAGCCTTGATATGAGACTGAAGTATGTTTAGTGACTCTGGATTAGGCCTAGGGACAAGACAGATATGTCCACAGCTGCAGAACATAATACTAGACAGGAACAATAACAAACATAGCAAACAGGAGATAGCATAATGAATAGGCTTTGTGGTTGAACGACTAGGTCCATATCTTAACATCATCAGTTATTAACTATATATACTTAGGTAATTTATTTCACCTCTATCTGTCTCATTCACAAAATGGAGATAATAAATATGTGTTTCATGGAATGGTAGTGATTATTGAAGGAGAAATTCATTTCAAGGGCTTTTCACATACCACTCAATAAATAGTAGGTATTATTATACCTAAGAATAAGAAAGCTAGAAGGAGAGGATGGGAGATATTCCAATAGCCACTTTTTATTGCCAAACTTCTAAGTACATTCCAATAGACTTTGACCTACTGTTCCCACCCTTACCAAGGTCATTATAGATAATGAATGGCACTAACTTACTCTCACCTCTAAATGCTATTAATATTATGGGTAAGTTCAACTTCTAAAAATCTAACTTCCCTGTAATTGGAATTACTTTGCACTCAATTTAATTCTTCCTAGACTTATAAAACTATGTTGTTAGCAAGGTTATGCTAGAGTAGAATGGATTAGAGGGAACATTAATTGAAGAATGGGAACTATATCATGAAAATGAAAGCCTTATATCCAATTTCACCCTCCATAATAAGTTAGTTTAGTGTAAGCTCACTTGTGCTTCAGTGCCCATATTTTAAATTGTAGATTCCAATGCATTTCACAGGTACTTTGTGTAGTTTAATTAGATAATGTCTGGTAAGTATTCTAAGGTCCTTGAAGAATGGAAAAGGTCCTATTACCATTGACAAATATTAATTATATATGCTTAAATGGGAACCTTTCATCTCAGGATGTGTCTATGCTTAAGTAAGTTGAATGACTAGTGTTTGGCATTTACATATTGGTTCATCAATTTTCAAAAACCTTCTTTGCACTTGTTAAATACCCCCAGAATTTGTTCACTTTGAGCTAAAGCTGCTACCCTTCACTTTTTAAGGAATGAGTTATGAAATTGATTTAAACATACCACATATACACACACACACCCTATATCTTGAGAGTCCAAATGACCATTAGCTCCTTCAATATAATTACCCTACAAGGTTCTAAACGTATTATGATGCTTAAACCTTTTTTTAAATACTCTAGGGATAACTTTGGAGCTAGTTTATGAGCCACACAGGGGATTCAGCCTCCCTTGTGCATAATCACATATTGTATAATGAGAAAATGGAGTGCCAACGGGGTCTGACAAGGCAAGGGTTGGATTTAGAAAAACAAACTAGAACCAAAGTTATCTAACTCCCTACATTTATCTACACTATTAAACATGAATCAGTTTAGTCAAATCAGTCTAGTAACAGGGAAAAACTAAAGTCAAGTGTTTCAGTTAGGTGGCCAGTTTGTCCAACAGTATCCTTGGAAAATATGTCAGTATTGGCATCTTTACGAAAGCAGAGATTAGATGACTCAACCAACATTACCCAATAGAGATAGAATTCCATTTATTTTACTTAAAGAAATATTAAAATCACTCCACTGTATGGTATATGTTAAATATACCATACTTGGTGTTTTGTGTTGATTGAAATACTTCAAATACTTTCACCATATATTACTTGTCATGGGTGCTCTGGTGTGCCACACAGATGTACCCTTCACAACTCAAGCGCTCATTCTTCTAACTGCTGGGAATGTTAGGAGATGATCACTCATGCCTCTCTGGGAATTGCCCTTAGCTGAGGAAAGCCACATTTCCTGAGGTCACATCCCATCATTAGTGTACTGAAATCAGCTGATGCTGGCTCACAAGAGCTTATGGTTAAATCTTCAGGGATTTTGTGTGCTAGTTAATGTCATATTTGTAACATAAAATTGGGCATGGTGGCAGTGATTACACCATTAAAATGAGCAAATGTTACAAACCAGGGCTTCCTCCCCGCCACCAAGGAGCTGGCTGTTAAAAATTATCACATAGCACTCCTTTCTCTGCCTCTGCCTACACCCAATGACAAGTCAACATGGGGATATAAAGGCCAAGAATACTTACCTAAATTCTAGACAACTCTAAAGGGCTATCCCAGCTTGAGAGCTCCTGTTGGAGCTGGCTAAAGTCTTTGTTGCAACAGTATGACCATTCTATTTTTCTTTCGACCCAATTTTACTGCCTTCTCTCCCTCACAGGTGATATCCTTAAAAGCATTCCTCCAATAAGCTTCTTGCACACAAATATTTGTTTGGCAGACATTTTTTCCAGGGCACCAACTTGTGGCACTGATTTGGAGCCCCATTGTACTCTGAACTGACTTCTATCATGGCATGTACAATATGTATTTCCCCTATTAATTTATGTTAGCCTCCACTATGAAACTGTGAGCTCCTGGGACTGTATGTTATCTATCCTGGTACATACTATGCATTAGATAAACATTGTTTAAATGAATGTTTGAAAATTTCAGAAAGAGAGGTTGTATACTTGGGTATGTTTTGTTGGTACCTTAAAAGACTTGGGCATATTTAAATTGTAAGTATGAAGCAACAATTTGAAGTGACATCTGCTGGGCAGGTAGATACTACCATGGCTGTTTTTAATGCTCAGTATCATTAAATATGCTCAAGACTTTACTCTCAGCCTGAATCTCTCCTTATAATGTTCCTTTCATTTTAGAGAAAAAGTCAGAAGTTTTATAATTGGAAATACCCCTAGTGACCATCTAGCTCCTCTCCCACTCCCATTACTTTATGGATGAAGAAATAGAAGTTTTGAGATGGAATGATCACAGCCTCCTCTACATTTTTTATGACAAGACCCTGCTATTGAACATAATTAAAGTAGAAAGCATAAATACTGGATTCAAACAACCACACCTTAATTTAATAGATTGCTTTGTGAACAGGGATTCATAGATGCATCTGGTCTACATGATGATTTTACTAAATAGCTTTATTGCTTCAAAATTACATTCATTAAAATGGGATATTACCTGCAAGTTGTTGTCCGGAAAGGATTAGTGGACAGAAACCTTAAATCCTAGGCAAGGCCTGGGTCAGCAGGTGATCGTTGAATAATACCAATTTGTAAATTTCCATTCTGATTATTACCAGTCAAGCTATTCCATGACCAAAACAAAGACCAGGAGATACATTCTCCTGAGATCCCATCTCACCAGGATATAATAATTGCACTTTTTCTGAGTTACCTGAGCCCTGCTCAAGCTGTCTAGCAGCATTATGTCTTTATACTGTGGCACCCACTATGGCAGGCTGTCCAGGGCCCTCTCTTTCACCCTCAACACTTGTAGCAGGAAATGTCATGAAACTCTAGGAACAGCCAAACACCAAGTCACTCAACTCCTACTTCTCTTCCTATATTTAAATACTCTGTCTAATATTTCCTTGCAATAGAGGAACCATGTTTCTCAGAGAGCTAAGGTCACTTTTTTTATTTCTCACATATTACTGGCTATGTAGTCCTTGGTGGAAGAGACTGTGCCCAGTTTCACACTTTGTTGGTAGAAATGATTCCACTATTTTTTGCTGAAGAAACCCTTAAGCGTCATATACACATTGTGAGTATACAATATTGCTCTGTACTCACAGAAACCTCCATTCTATTGTCTCTACTCTTCATTTTAACCATTTTGTGACATTTCCTACCACAAACATCTTTTTTAACCTATTTTATTTTAACAAGTGTTAAGAGAGAGAGGATGGTAGTCAGGTCAGCAGAGGTGGGTATGCAGTATGATTTATCCCAACTCTCACCATTTCTTTAGGATTTACCCCATCTGGCCATACTGTGAAAGAAATACATTCATACCCTCTTCCTCTCAGTTTTCCCCTACCCAGTCTATAAAATGGATGTGTAAAAATAGCGTAGAAAGGTCTAGAATCTGCATGCTTCCCAGCTCTCCCCTACCCCTCACAGTGTGATTCAGTTTAAGAGGCTCTCAAAGCATACTTTAAGAACACTACACTAGGCAATGTGTGGCTGTTTCTATTGGACAAAGACACCTGCATATTTTCACTTGGGACCACCACTTACTTAGCTGCCACAAATGTTGACCAGTCTAAGTACTGTTACAGAACAACAGGGGGGCCTGGGATGATATACTATTACCCGAAAAGAATCCCCCAGGTTCGTTATGTCTTCTACCAGAGGAAAGACATCTCTCAATGTCAGAGATTTGTGAAAAGGAAAGGAAATGTTTATTTAATGCTGTACAGACTTAAAGTAGTGACCTAATGTCTTCATCAAAAATCCCAAATTCCCTTAAAACACCCACAAACACACACAGTCCTTCCTTCCCCCTTTTCCCAGTCTGGGGTATCTCAGGAAAAGAAATAGAAGTCTGTGGCTAAGGCAGCCCCCAGTTGTTCTCAGTAATCCATCTCAGCTGGTAGGCCTCCCTCGGTTCCCGGCACTATCAGCTGTGTCACCAGGATCTCTGCTAAAGCCGGGTGGTGGTTCCCCCTTCTAAAGCTGCGGGGGTCCCCACCCTGGCAAAGCCGCGAGGTTCTCTCTCCCAGGGCCATGGGAGTCCCCACTCAGCCAAAACAACGTGGTTCTCCCTGCACAATGGCCGCAGGAGTCTCCACTCTGCCAAAGCCCCATGGTTCTCCTCCCAGGGCCGAGGGAGTCCCTGCTCTGGCAAAGCCACATGATTCTCCCCTCAATGGCTGCAAGGAGGGGGGTCGCCACTCTGCCAAAGCCAAGTGGCAGTTCTCTGCTAAAGCCGCATGGTGATTCTTTCTCGCAGGGCTGCGGGAGTCCCCATTC